TTGTTTCGTTTTGATCATTGCAGTTTGTGTTTACTGATAAAAAAAACTTGACAAAGTGCGGAGCTTTTCTGCTTTTTCTCCCATAAATTAGAATTTTCTGGAGAGAAAGGGAGCAGAACTTGTGCAAACATTTTTTTTTACTTTATTTTCTTTTATAGTAGCATGCACAAATAATCTTTATACCAAATATCAGGGCTATCCAACTAAATTGCTCCGGGGGCCACAGTTAATGCACAGGGGCTGAACATCCAGCAATTAAAATCATTATGTAAATAAACCAAATACTGCAAAAACTGTCCACCTAACCAAGTTTTATAATCTTATATCAGCCAAAAAGTCTTTTTGATCTTGTTTTGAGACTGATTTACTAAACAAGAACTGATTGTGTAAGAATAATCATCTTGTTTTCAGAATGTGTAAGATTATTTGTCTTGTTAGTCTGAAAATTTGACTCAAATTAAGTCAAACATTTCTGCCAGTGGAGTAAGAACATTTTACTTGGTAAGATTTTTGAAATACTTGATTTGACTCAATTTTTTCTTATTTCAAGAATCTTACCAAGTAAAATGTTCTTACTCCACTGGCAGAAATKTTTGACTTAATTTGAGTCAAATTTTCAGACTAATTAGACAAATAATCTTACACATTCTGAAAACAAGATGATTATTCTTACAGTCTTGTTTAGTAAATCAGTCTGAAAACAAGATCAAAAGACTTTTTGGCTGATATAAGGTTTTAAAACTTTGTCAGGTGGACATTTTTTGCAGTGTACCTAAATCTTGCAGAGATAATTCATTATGCTAACTTTTACTTGGATCTTTAATCCTTTAAACTTTAATCAAGATGACCCTGATGACATCACCAGGAGTTTATTCAGTGGCACTTTAAAGTTTATTACACGTTTCACTGATACGGATCCAGACAGAGCAGGAAAACTCCCTCCTCCGTCATCTTGCGACCTAAATTTATCCACAAAATTCTTTCCTGCGGCTATTACTTTACCGTGTTTATAAGGTTATCCTCCCAGTAACTGTTAACGTAATGTATGAATTAGACCAGGGTGAAAACRGCAAATAAATCGGACCTGTCTGCGATCGTGGCCTTTACAGACTTCAAGGTCTGCTAAAACAAACGGGGCTGCGGTGTCAGGAGTCCGGGGCGGACGAGCTGAGGAGAAGCAGCCTCCGCGCTCTTGGCTGATGGCTCCAGACGAGCACCTTGATGGCTGTAATTACTGTCAGATCCCAGAAGAGATGAGAGACACCAGAGGCCCCAAATAAAACCTAAAACTGTTTTGATATGATGGATTTCTTCGACTCTGTTTAAAAATTCTTCGAGACGTCTTGTCTGCAGTCTGGAGGAGGCGATGCATTTAACGTGACGGTCTCTGCACGTGTTTAAATCAATCGATTTCAAAAACGCGAGCGGGTTTACCGCTGCCGGTTGGACTCTCCAGAGCACGCAGACGGGTTTTCAGTAAATGTCTGCAGTGTTTACATTCTGCCTAATGCACTCAGACGACACCGAAACTAAACATCTTCACACAGAGACTCTCCACGGCTCGGCTTTACTGCCACAAACAGCTCCAGCTTTATGAGTTCAGCTGTCTTTAGGAAGATGTTTCTCACCAGTGGCGTCACTAGGCCTATTCTAGGGGGGCTGGAGCCCCCCCTAAAATATTTTAAAGCCCCCCTAAATTATTTTGGTGCAAAAATTCAATATGATGTTGTCAGAATAAATAACCATTTAATATTTCATTATTAACTAAAATTTATGATCATAAATCTGTCAGTTTCCCTTTAATTTATAGTGTAAGGCAGAAATCATCTTTGGTGCGTCGTTATCCAATCCATTCCTTATGTTCATATAGAGTACTCCCCCACCACATGGAATCCAGTCCACATTTTTCCTGCAACCTTAATAGCAACATGCTAGCAGGTTTACACACAGAGCCAGCTAAGTGCAGCATGAAGGCTCAGTGAAAACTGGATATATGAAAGTTTTCAAGAAAGTAATAAGTATTAATCATCACTGCTGGTAGTAACTATAAACATAAAGTAACATAAAGAGTAGATAGACGGACTGCTAATGCTGCTGACGACCTGCGGGGCCGCCATCTTGGAAAAGTCATTTGCTCAATGAGATATCAGCCTGTTTAATCAATCATAACTTGCTGTATACAAACACACACACACGCACACACACACACACAATGCAAATATATACAGTAATATACAAAAATTCTGTGTGTCTCCTGAGGTCTAAGCCCCCCTTGTTCTTAAAACCTAGTGACACCCCTGTTTCTCACTGTTTAAAATTTATACATAACAGTCACTCAATACATCAACAAAAGCTTGAGTTATGTGGAGTTTTAAAGAAATTTTTATTGTTTAAGTATTTAACTGCAACCTTCTGACACACCTGTTTAAGTTAAAGCTGCAGGTAAAAGTACTGCATCTTGTTGTTGTTTTAGAAATTTTTTTACATTTCCTTGATAAACGAGTGTTTAAAAATGAAACATAACGATGCTGAAAGAGGTGGTTTAATTCAGAGAACAAGCAGGCAGCTGGCCGGTATTTGTTTCCGAAACCGTCCTTTTACCATTACTTTTGTTTTCAGTCATCATTTTGTTATATTTTGTACACAAAACCACTTAGGTTTAGGAAAATATTACAATTTGAGTTTCCACCCCAAGATTTTGGCTCAAACGTAAACATCCAACAACGTTTGAGTGCTTATTGCAAAAACACACTTTGCACACTTTGGACAAACTATTAGATGTTTTGTTTTYGATGCCGTCTTGACAGAAGTGACTCAAACGGTTCAAGCTTTAATTAGAGAAAACTTACTTTCTTTAACTCCACTCAGACAACAAAAAACCACAGATCCTGGCAAAAGATACTGTGTTTACTGTAAACCTTCACTGATAAAAATCATGAAGTGTTTCACAATAATAAAAACACTTTTTAATGAATGTAAAAGATGTCAGATCAGTGATAAAAACAAAAAGAAAAAAGATGGGGGCTGCGTCCTTCGAAGGATCCGGTCTACATGGGCCAGGTCTTATGTGAATTTACTCCTGCTCTGACCCCGGCGTACCTGTCACTTAGCAATCACGACGGCGCTAAACAGAAGCAATGAAGATCGAAAAAAGCTCAATATTTTATAAATGAACAAAATTAGCTTAGATAATATACACGAGGAAGTAACGGACTCGCCAGATGAGCTCGTTTATGATGATTTCTGTCAAGAATAATATTTTTAAAAAACTGCAGACAAAAGCCAAACAACACAACCGCTTTTAACTTTCAGATTTTAATATAAAACTTTATTCAGGTGTATATTTACAAAGTTACTTTGTTGCAGTCCTTAAGTAARTTATTTTTTGTGGGTGTGTCAATTTACCAAGTATTATTTTTATTACTTTTATTTTGTTACATTCAAAACCTTAAAATGATACTTTTACTTCTTTCCTATAAGATTTAACACCTTGTTACATGCTACTAATTTAGATATGACTGAACTCATCAAGAAAAGTGTTGTTTATGCACTCTAACAAATGAAGGGTTGATTTAGTTTACMAAGTTATGTCGACTGGTTCCAACTCGGTTTAGTGGAGCCAGTTTRGTTCAGTAAATTCAACACTTCCTTTCTTTAGAGTGTGCAAAAGTAGTTTCCTGATTATTGTGAGCAATTTCATGACTTTTACTTACCGTACTTATTCAATACGTAAGATTAAATCCATAAAATCATCCATAAAGTTGGGGGGTAGTACTATACTCGGATAAATATTTTTACTTATGTATTTTAACTGAAATATCGGCTTCATTCACAAA